AGCTGTTCGCAGCAGGCGCAGCTGCGGCGGCGGAGCACACGATGGGTGGATTCAACGGCTCTGCGCCGCCCGGTAGCGGCCGCGCCATCCTGAGCCAGAGCCACAGCCTGGACGGTCGGTCTGCGCTTCCGCCCGTCTCGCCGCAAGTCAACGCGCGATCTCGACCGCAGCTCATGGCGGGCGAGCGCCCCGTGCCGGTGCTGGGGTCCGCCGCGCACGGTGCGCAGTCGAGCCTGCGCTCCCGGCGGGGCCTGCCGGACCTCTCGAGCTCGCTGGCCAACGCGCGCCCCTCCGCCGTCTCCCGCCTCGCCGCTGCCACTGCCGGCAATCCGCCCGCCAGCACGGGCAAGCGTGAGGCCGAGGCGGGCATGACGGGCGGCGCAGCGCGGTGGCCGCTGTCGCCCGCGCTCAAGAGTCCGCGATCCGACGGATACCGCAGCCCTGGCGGCAGCCGCGTTCTGTCCGCCGTAACCGCCAGCCCCACCGGGCTCGCCAGCGACATGGCGCAGCTGCGCGTGCGCTCGCTACCCACCACTCCGCTTGGCGGGGCCGCGCCCTTGCCGCTGGGGTCAGCGCGCGGCGGAGTGGGAGGGGGAGTGCGATCCGCAGAGTCGGGAGGCAGAGGGTCGCACTCGAGAGGGTCGAGCGGCGAGCAGGGCTACGAGGTGGCGTCGGCAGGCGGGCAGGACGGCGCAGCGCGGGACGGGCAGGAGGGTGGCATGGAAATGGGCGCGGCGCACATGGAGGAGGGCAACGGGGCGGCAGCAGGGATGGTTGAGGGAGCGGAGGGGGGGGGAGGGGGAGACGAGCTGTACGGCGGCGATGGTTTTGGGCTGGACGAGGGGGGAGAGGAGGAGGCGGACGGGGAGGGTGGCAAGGGAACGGGCGGAGGCAAGGGGCGGGGCCGGCACTCAACGAAGCCGCGCAGCGTGGCGGAGCGCATGCGGCGCGAGCGCATATCGGCGCGGCTGAAGCGGCTGAAGGACGTGATGCCGCGCACGGACGCGCGCACAGACACGTCGGCCATGCTGGACGACGCGGTGGTGTACATCCGCTCACTGCAGATGCGCTGTGCTGCCCTCGAGACCCAGAACGCCGTGCTCGCCAAACAGCTCGCGGACACCGCCCGCACCCGCGAGCATGTCCCACAATAGCGCCTCTCCAGCTGCTGCCTGCAGCCATCGCTGCCTCAGCCACGCCTGCCTCGCTTCTTAGAGTAGGAGCATGCCTCCTCCGCTGACCTGCTGAGCTGACCACCCGAATATGCTGCTTGCACATGAGGCCATTCGATTAGCACGCTTGTATATTCAGAAACTTTTCAACAGCGCGACCTCTCAATCCGTAAAATATTACTCTTATCTTTCACCAACCTTCTCACTCACTCTATTTCCCACTCTCCCTCCCTTCCTCCGTCTCTTCCTGCCTCTCTCCCTTCCCACCCTTGGTTCTCTGTTCTTCTTTCTCTCCCTCATTCCCTCCCTTGCCCCCTGCTTCCCCTCTCCCTCCACCCGTTCATCACCTTGCTCCCGTGCCCTCTCATTACATCCTTGGCTCCATTCCTCCTCCTCCCCCTGCTCCACGTCTTCTTTCCCTCATTTCTCTCCACCCCCATCTTCTATGGCCGCGGGGAAAAATAATGGGCAGAATTGTATGGTTGGTTAATTGAAAACGTGGTCTGCAGCAGACCCGTATAGCTGATCGATCACTGTCTGTCCACCCCTGTTCTTTTGCTGTGAATCAGTGTCCCCCCATGATTTAAGGCTGGAAATTCAGCCGTTACTGGTACCATAAAAAAAAATAAAGTCTATGATGTTGGCATAAAACGGTCTAAAATGTGAAATTAGGAACCATACTAGGGTTTAGGGTACATTCTTGTGTCGACATTTGTGTCTGAAACGGTACAAGGTCAGAAACGCGGACCGCACTAATGCGACTTGTAGTGTATTTATCATTGGACAACGTGAAATGCGGTACTATCGCGGACGAGTTGTACGAGGCCCCGTCACACATTGCAAATCGCTCCCGGTTCGAAAGTGTTACAATCTGACTTAGGAGCTTAGGAGATTAGGAGCCATGAGTAGGGTTTAGGACTTAGGAGCTAGGAAACGAGCGAGGGAAAGGAGATGGCCAAAAGAGGGGGTTTGAATAATGGAGGGCATACAAAGATATAGGCAAGGGCAAAGGGGAGGGTACACCACCAGCAGTTGAGACTAATACCTAACTAATACACTAGCTGCACGCTGTAGACAGTTATAAACAGGATATGCAATATAATTTAACACACCCCCGTAACTGTTTACGGCTTTAGCTAGTGGTGTCTGGCAGCAGGTCGCCTAGAGAGCAGTTGCTGTAGCTGGGATACGCACAGAAACAGCGGTGGCTGATCGGCAGCACCTCTGACTGCCAGAACGGAGGGCGGAGGGCTAATTTGGAGGGCGTAGGCTGCCGGTGTTACACACCAACGGTTGGATAGGAGGAGGATGTTAAGTTGTAATGTGTTATATGTTGGTAGGCTATAGTGGGGTAGCCAATATAGGGTACAACCCCTGTTAGAATCTGGCAGCAGGAATGGTAAACTAACAGCATGCAGGAGTACAAGTAGGAAACCCTAATTTGGTTGTACCCCATATGGGCTACCCCACTACAGCCTAGACAATATGCAGCATACATGTTTGACACACCCCCATAGGCAAAGTGGGGGAGAACAAGGGGTCACACGACCAGTCAAGAGACGCAAAGCAAGCTCAGGGTGGATCTCAACGTCACCACACATTCTGAGCACAAGCAAAGGGCCGCAAGGCCAGTCCACATGCAGAGATATATATAAGCAACAAGAGCAGTACAGTGATCAATACCTAGCAAGAGCAAGCATGCAGGTATAAATATAGAACACAGTACACACAAAAGACTACAGCAAGTGTGGAAACATAGGCACAAGGCCTAACAAAGTACAAAAGCGCTGATGATCACCAGACGGAAGTGCCTTGGTGAATATATCAGCAGTGTTGGCCCTAGTGGCCACGTGTGCAAGACGAAGCTGACCACGCTGCTGCAGCTCTCGAGCCAGAAAGTACCGCAGAGCGATGTGCTTCGTTCTGTGCTCCAGTCTGTGCTCCTCACACAAGGCAATAGCAGCCTTGTTGTCGACGTACAGCACTGGAGGAGAACGAGGCCGCTCTCCCAGGTCGGTCAGTAGGTAGGTGAGCCAGCGTAACTCCTGAGCAGCCATGGCGGTGGCGTAGATCTCAGCCTCACAACTGGAGCTGAGAACAGAAGACGAGCGAGTAGAACGCCAAGAAACAGAATCAGAGCCAAGGCTGAAAGTGTAACCCTGTGACGACCGCTGCGTAGCCTGGTCGTCAACCCAAGAAGCGTCTGAGTGCCCAGTGAGGACCACCTCTCGCCGTCCTCCAAGCACGAGCCCCATGCCCGATGTACTGCACAAGTAGCGCAGTACCCTCTTCGCAGCATCCCAGTGCACCTTTCGGTGCCGACCAGGAGCCACGTAGCGAGCCAGAAGGCCAAGAGGGTACGCAAGGTCAGGACGAGTGCAAGTCATCAGGTACATGAGGTAGCCCACTAGCTCTAGGTAAGGACCACTCGGCTCTACGGACTCATCCGAAGGCAGAGCTGAGAGCGAGTGACCTATAGCCAGAGGAGTGGCCTGTGCTGAGGACCAGGTGAAGCCGAAGCGCTGAAGGACCTGCTGCACCATGTGTGACTGAGTCAGTGTGATGGTGCGGCGTGCTCGGTCCCGGGTGATCTGCAAGCCAAGGTAGCTGCGCAGCTTACCCAGGTCTGTGCACGTGTGTCTCTTCTGCAGCTCGGACTTCACCAGGGCGAGGGCCTCAGTGTCAGCAGTAGCAAAGACCAAGTCGTCGACGTACACGAGGATATAGAACGGCGGCAGCGAAGTGTCGGTGCGTAGAAACAGTGAAGGGTCAGCAGTCGAAGGCGCAAACCCAAGAGCCGCAAGGGTAGTCCTCAGTGTGTCGTGCCACTCACGGGGTGCCTGGCGGAGACCGTAGACTGGCCGCCGGAGGCTCCACTGGGTACCAGGAGGGAACGTCCCAGTGAAGCCAGGAGGGCGGCGCAGCCAGATCTCCTCGTGCAGACTGCCCTGCAAGAAAGCTGTGCTGAAGTCAAGGGAGTGAAGCTCGTAGTCACGGTGTGCGGCAACGTGGAGCAGCACCCGAAGAGTAGTCATCTTCGGGGTAGGAGAGAAGGTCTGGAAGAAGTCAACTCCCTCTCGCTGACTGAAGCCTCGAGCAACGTAACGCGCCTTGAAGACAGGCGGAGAACCTGGCGGCCGCTTCACCCTGAAAATCCACATGCCATCGACGATGTTCGCCCCTTGAGGGGGAACCTCATCGACGTAAGTGCCTGTGGACTTCCAGGATGCCATCTCTGCGTCCATGGCTGCCTGCCACTGAGAGGAGTAGGGACCCGCGATCGCCTCAGCGTAAGAGCGCGGTGTGGGGATGTCTATAGCATCCGGGTCTCCCTCAGGGGCAAGCAGCATGGCCACGAGATGAGGCGCAGCGGCTGCAAGAGACTCAAGGTCCTCGTGCCTGTCCTCAAGGACGTCCGTGCCAAGGGCACACTCACCCCTGACGGACGGAGGACAGACAGACTCAGACTCAGCAACAAGACTAGCAGCGTAGTCTAGACGACAGGCAGCAGCAAAGTCAACAAGCTCAGCGGCTAAGGCAGACGCAGCAGCAGATTCAAACGACGGGTCAGTGACAACAGTGGCTAGCAGACGCGTGACAGTAGGGTGCTCAGCACGAAACCGGTCAGACTCAGGGTCCGCGACGACAGGCAAAGAGGACGCAGGGGGAGACGGAAGAGGAGTACGCTCCGGAGTAGGGGACCGACGCAGGGCTACAAGGCGTGTGCCGGGGACAGCCGGCTGACGCGGACGAGGAACACGACGACCGGTACGACTAGGACGAACAGGCGAGACTGGACGCGACGCAGGCTCACGACGCTCAGCAAGACTACCTGTCTGCTCAGTGTAAGGAGAAGGAGCAGGCAGCGGTGAGCCAGGCTGTAACGGAAGACCAGTAGACGACGGGAGAGTAAGAACCTGACGAAGAACAGAGTCAGGCGGCGGCAGAGACGACGGAGACGGCGGAGCGAAGAACAGTCGTGGCGGCGCAGCTGCACCAGTACCGGCAGCTCCAGCAGCTCCAGTACCTCCAGCAGCTCCAGCACCTCCAGCAGCAGAACCGACACCTCCAGGCCCAGGGTCTCCAACCCCAGTGCCTCCAGCAGCAGCACCCCCAGAACCAGCATCAGCTCCAGTCCCAGGGTCTCCAGCCTCCACGTCTCCAGCAGCAGCACCCCCAGAACCAGCACCTCCAGTCCCAGGGTCTCCAGCCTCGGTGTCTCCAGCAGCAGCACCTCCAGACGCAGCACCCCCAGCCCCAGCAGCTCCAGTACCTCCAGTACAAGCACCTCCGGGACCAGCGACTCCAGCACCACCAGTAGACAAAGTACCAGCACCACTCCTAGCTCCAGGGACGTCAGCAGAAGTACCTCCAGCAGTAGAGCCCCGGGCTCCAGCAGCGCGACCCTGACGGCGACCGTACCAGTCGTGCAGCTGCTGGGAGGTGAGAGGCACACGTGGACGAAGGCGGCTACTCCAAGGAGACCGCGCAACAGCAGACTCTGAACCCTCAGCGCCAGCACCCTCAGCAGCTCCAGCGCCACCAGCACCAGGACCTCCAGCAGCTCCAGAACCTCCAGCGCTCGCACCCTCAGCAGCCCCAGAACCACCAGCTCCAGCGCCACCAGCACCAGGACCTCCAGCAGCTCCAGAACCTCCAGCGCCCGCACCCTCAGCAGCCCCAGAACCACTAGCTCCAGCACCTCCAGACCCCTCACACGTAGGCTCAGCACCTCCAGGCTCCACACTCTCAAGCTCCGCACCCCCAGGCTCAGCACCCCCAGAAGTAGCACCCCGAGCAGGACCACCCCCAGTAGGACCTGAGTCACCAGTGACCTCAACCGGCGCAGGGAAGGGAGGAGGGTCTACCTGAGACACACCTGAAGGAGCAGGACCGGGAGCGGGGAGGGGGTCTACCTGGGGAGCACCCGGAGCGAGGAAGAGCGGCGGGGGAGGGAGAGGGGCAGTGCGGTAGGGGAAGAGATGGTAAAAGGGAACCGACTCATCGAACGTGACGTCCTGAGACGCAAAGACACGGCGCGAGGTGGGGTGGTAAAACTGCCAACCAGGCGCGTCAGGGACAAAGCCAAGGAAGACACAGGGAACTGCACGGGCGGAGAGCTTGTCCGCAGTGGTATCGCGGACAAAGGCACGAGCACCCCAGACCCGGAAACGCGACGCATCGCCAACCTTCCCCGTCCACAGCAGTGTGGGCGAGGTCTCCGGCAAGGAGACACGGGGCCAGAGGTTGAGCTGATGCGCGGCGTACCGGACCGCAAACAGCCACAGAAAATGGGGGGCAGCCGCATGGATCATGGAGGTACGAGCAACCTCCATGACTAAGCCAATGCGGCGCTCAGCAACCCCATTCTGCTGCAGAGAGTCCGGAAGCGTGAACGACAGGAGTTTAGAATTTCGGGTTTTTAAGGTTTTGAGAAGATATTTGCAACCATGGATCGCAATTGCGATGTTTGAGGCGCCAAAAAAAACCTTCAGCCCTCCCATTTCCTTAAAACTTCCCCTTCCCCCCTGCTCCACCTCTCCCTCCCTCAGGATTTTGAGGAGATCTTTGCAACCATGGATCGCAACGCCGATGTTTAAGGCACGCCCCCCCTTTTCCTCAAAACCTCCCCATCCGCCCTTCTTCCCCCTCTCCCCAGTTTGAGGAGATCTTTGCAACCATGGATCCCTCGTCTCCCCCTCACTCCCCACATTCAACACCTCCTCCATCTTTCCCCCTCTCCCCATCCCTTTCCCCCCCGCAGGAGTTTGAGGAGATCTTTGCAACCATGGATCGCAACGGCGATGGGTCGATAGATTTTGAGGAATACGTTGCGGTGATGAGCGGTTACATGGGCGAGCAGAACATGCAGCAGGACCTCATCGCCATGTACCAGCTCTTCTCTGATAAGCGAACTGTGAGTGGGCTACAGTGCAATGCTTATGTATTTAATACATATATATATAGATATTTTTATATACATGGACGAGCAGAACATGCAGCAGGGCCGCATCGCCATGTACCAGCTCCTGTGAGTCTGCTACAGTGGAAACATCGAGTACACTACATATGTTCATAATCATACAGGTCAGTATAATATGCACTATGGCTTGATCGTCGTGTACCAGTTTTGTCTGTTCTGTTCAATAAGGAAACAGAGAATGTACAAGCTCATAGACATGCGTGATAGTGCAACTTCTGAGGCGCCTTAAAAGTCATAGACTTACATAACAGTGTTGCAGTCAAGGGCAATACAAAACAGGGGAATAAAGAGGTTTGTTGGATCTTGGGATGGTGCCGAGAGTGCGCGGACACGACTGGCATCAAATTCACTCTGTATGCCCGTGGATGCGCCTTGGATGCCCCTTGGATACCCCATGTATGCGACTTGGATGCGACGTGAATCCGCCTGTGAATGTGTCTGTGAATGATCAGGGCAAGATATCGCAGCGCACGCTCAAGAGGGGCGTGTTGGCCCTCGGGATTGTCTTCTCCGACGACGAGATCAGGGGCATGTTCAACAGTGCTGACGTGGATGGTATGTTTCACAGTGCTGACGTGGATGGTATGTTGCACAGTGCTGACGTGGATGGTATGTTTCACAGTGCTGACGTGGATGGTATGTTGCACAGTGCTGACGTGGATGGTATGTTCCACAGTGCTGACGTGGATGCTATACAGTGTGGACACGGATGGTATGCTATGCTGTGAACAGTGCAGCAGCAGATGGTTATTTTGAGTCCTTCAACCAAGGTATGTATATATCACACACCTCTTCTGCCTTTCTTGCAACCACCCACACATTCTTGCAACCACCCACACATGCTTGCACCCATCCACACATGCTTGCACCCACCCACACATGCTTGCACCCATCCACACATGCTTGCACCCACCCACACATGCTTGCACCCATCCACGCATGCTTGCACCCACCCACGCATGCTTGCACCTGTCCACACATGCTTGCACCCATCCACACGTGCTTGCACCCATCCATACTTGCTTGCACCCATCCACACATGCTTGCACCCATGCACACATGATTGCACCCACCCACACATGCTTGCACCCATCCACACATGCTTGCACCTGTCCACGCATGCTTGCACCCATCCACACATGCTTGCACCTGACCACTGATTACCATCTCCAAATCTCTCCCTGTCAACCCCCCTCCAAATTCTCTGTTCCCCCGCCCAATTTCTCCCTGTACCCCCCTTCAGGCAACGGCGAAATTGACATAGATGAGTTTTCCCGCATTGCTGAGGTGGCAGGGATTTGCTGAGGCGGGTGTGGCATCCATCTGAGCTGGCAGGAAGGTTTTTCAAGGAGGATTTACAGAAAGACCAAGAGCAGCTGGTTTTACACCAGAAGATTGGTTGCTATCATGTGCATCATGTACCTACCTCAGCCTGTGATGGATGCGCAGCGCAGACATGTGAGCAGTATCTGCAGGTTAGGATTCCAATTTTAGTCAATCGGTGCTTTATGAGGATACAATGTGTGTACAGAGCTAGCAAAGCATGTTGAAACAAATAGCAACGACACTCAACAACACTCATCAAATGCAATCATCAATACCGTACTCGTTTGGAATTCACTACCAATAGCTATGTGTGCACATCTGTCATCCTGCAGTAATATCACCATTATCAATTGCTTCTCAACAATCCTCCACATTCTGACCAATCACCGAACGTTCCGATCCAGCCGTGAGAACCTACAAATGCCCCTTTTTCCTTCCGTGCTCCGCACAGAAGGCTGCCAAGAGGTCTGAGGGTTTAGGGTTTAGGGTTTAGGGTTTAGGGTTTAGGGTTTAGGGTTTAGGGTTTAGGGTTTTAAGGTTTTAGGGTTTAGGGTTTAGGGTTTAGGGTTTAGGGTTTAGGGTTTAGGGTTTAGGGTTTAGGGTTTAGGGTTTAGGGTTTAGGGTT